CCAGGGTGGCTCCCCCTTGGGGCTCCCAAATGATGCCCCTGGCAGCGTTTTGTGACCATGAGGCTCCCAAGAGATACATGTTGGGGCGCCAAACGGCAATTCTAGCTGAGACGTCCCACCAAAATCGGCGCGAACGGGCTCGTGAGATCAGCCAGGGTGGCTCCCCCTTGGGGTTCCCAAATGATGCCCCTGGCAGCGTTTTGTGACCATGAGGCTCTCAAGAGATACATGTTGGGGGCGCCAAACGGCAATTCTAGCTGAGACGTCCCACCAAAATCGGCGCGAACGGGCTCGTGAGATCAGCCAGGGTGGCTCCCCCTTGGGGCTCCCAAATGATGCCCCTGGCAGCGTTTTGTGATCATGAGAGAGTGTGAGTGTGAGTGAATGTGACTGCGAGTGAGTCTGAGTGAGAGTGAGTCTCATCTTATCTTATCGAGTCCTATCTTATCTTACCTTTATTACCCTCTATCTTATATTATCTTGAAATCTCTTATATTGTCTTAGCTTATCTTATATCAACTCATACTATAGCATCATATCTTGTCTTATCTTATTACTCCATAGGCTGTCTTATATTATCGATTTTCCTACCTTGTCATATATCTTATCTTACCTTATCATATCTTGTGATATCTTATCTTATATTGTAGTATCTTATCTTGTCTTGTCTTATCTGGTGATTATCGTTGGGAGGAGGGAGGCGGGAGGCGGGAGGAAGAAGGAGGAGGAGGAGGAGGAGTGGGAGGCGTCAGAGTAATAACAAGAACCCCAATCCTTAGGATATGGGGAAAAAGAGTTCGGATGGATGGGTTTCCTCCTCCCTCTCCTCCATCGCATCCCCTTCCCTTTTCTCCCCCCTTCTCCCCCTCCCCCTCGGCCGCCCCCTCCCTCCTCCCCCTCCCTCCCTTCTCCTCCTCCTCCTCCTCCTCCCCTCCTCCTCCTCCTCCTCCTCCTCCTCCTCCTCCTCCTTCTCCTCCTCCTACTCCTCCTCCTCCTCCTCCAACTTCTCCTCCTCCTCATCCTCCTCTTCCTCCTCCTCATCCTCTTCCTCCTCCCCTTTCTCCCTCCTCCCTCCTCCATCCTCCCCCTCCTCCTCGGTCCAGCCGCTCGCCAGACCAGCGCTGCACCGAGGGGCCGGCACTCCAAGGGAGGACGAAAAGCTTGCCCAGTGGACCGTTCCCTGCGAGACCCTGGCGTCGCCTTGGCATCGCTCGGACGTGTGCCGCGGGCGATTCAGTAATAACAAGAACCCCAATCCTTAGGATATGGGGAAAAAGAGTTCGGATGGATGGGTTTCCTCCTCCCTCTCCTCCATCGCATCCCCTTCCCTTTTCTCCCCCCTTCTCCCCCTCCCCTCGCCCCCTACCTCCCTCCCCCTCTCCGCCTCGCCTCCTCCCCTCCTTCTTCCTCCCCTCCTCCTCCTCCCCCTCCTTCCTCCTCCTCGTCCTCCTTTCCTCCTCCTCCTCCTTCTCCTCCTCCTACTCCTCCTCCTCCTCCTCCAACTTCTCCTCCTCCTCATCCTCCTCTTCCTCCTCCTCATCCTCTTCCTCCTCCCCTTTCTCCCTCCTCCCTCCTCCATCCTCCCCCTCCTCCTCGGTCCAGCCGCTCGCCAGACCAGCGCTGCACCGAGGGGCCGGCACTCCAAGGGAGGACGAAAAGCTTGCCCAGTGGACCGTTCCCTGCGAGACCCTGGCGTCGCCTTGGCATCGCTCGGACGTGTGCCGCGGGCGATTTCCCCCCCCCCCTCCCCCCATATTTTTCGACAAAAATGCAGCCGCTCAGAAAAGAAGGGAATCCATGGGATACGCCCCAGAAGGGGCTATTTGGACGCACCCCTATCGAGGATGGACATCCTATACCCCAGGGATGGGCCCCCATTTTTCTGGTCAGTTCGGAAGCACCACGAGGCCAAGGATAGGGGTCGAGGACCAGCGAGGAGCATCCTGGATCATCGGGCAAGAACTTGCACGCACGAAACCGACAAATTCACAGGGAATGGACGTCCGAGCGACGTCAAGATTTCTGTTCACACGGGGCGATCCTTCGTTCTGCCTCGGGCCCTGCGGCCCTCACGGATCGATCGGGCTCGAGAGGTGCCACAGGAAGGTGGGCTTTGGGGCGTGGGGCGTGATTTCCCTCCATGCTGAACCTGTTTTCGCGGCGTCGGGTCTCCCAGGATGCCCGTCCCTCGTGCTCGTCCTCCCGGGCCAGCCTGAGGGGGCCCTCGCCGCCGCGGCGGCAGGCGCCCCCCCCCCCCGGAGTCCTGGCCAGAGCGCGCCCCGGCGGTGTCTGCCTGGCCCCCCTCCAGGCTTAAGTCGGGCGTGTCCCCCTACAGGGGGGATTTTCGACGAAAATAAAAAGTACCCCAAAAATACCCCCAAAAAGTCAAACATATTCAAAAAATAGTCCCCATACCATTTTTGGGCAATTTTTGTTTTATTATTTTTGAGGTGTTTTTTCGTAGAAAATCCCCCTGTAGGGGGACACGAACGACATAACCCCAGGCACGCCGCTCCCGCAGGTGCGGGGCTACCTGGACAGCGTCGACCGCACGATGACGGTCAAGTCGATGAGCGACCCGCTAGAGGTGCTGCACTTCATGGCCGAGAACGCCGACAGCGACACCCGCACCCACGAGGCCGCGCTGAGGACGCTGGGGAACCTGACCAAGGTGGCCAGCAGGGACACCTACCAGAAGGTCATGAGCGACGGCCGCTTCCACGCTCTCCTCAGCGCCCTGGCTGGCCGCCTCGACGATTGCGACGCGCGCACGCTGTCCATGGTGGCCGACGCCTCGTCGAGATTCCGCATCTCCTCGCCGGAGCTGACGGAGCTGGCGCAGCGGCTGGCCGAGGTCGTGGTGCGGCGCGAAGACGCCTTCAGCCCCAGGAACTTGTCCTCGGTGGCCATCGCGCTGGCGGTGCGCGGCATCAGGGACGTCGCGACCGTCGAGTTCATCCGCACCGAGGCTCTGAAGCTGGTCGACGAGCTCGAGCCCTCGCACTGCGTCATGATGCTGGAGGCGTTCCGGCGCTGGGGCGTGTTCGACCGGCAGTTGGTGGACCTGATCGTGGAGCGGATGCTCGACGAGGTGGACCGCTTTGCGGGCCGCGACGTGGTGGATGCGTTTGCGGTCGCGTCGCGTATCGGCTTGGCTCGGGGCTTCCTGCTCCGGCGCCTCTGCACCCTGGCGTTCGAGAACCTGCGGCAGTTCCAGCCCCGCGAGCTGGCAAAGGTTTTTGGTGGACAGCGAACGATCTGGCTCCCAGAGTGGACCCCAAACAGTGGGTTCTTGCACTCTCGATGGACAGTCTCGTTATGTGGTGTAATCTGTGGCATCGATCTGGGTGTATAGATCTATGTACATGATTCAACCTATGCATAGATGCATGCAATATGCGGGATGCCATCGATGTCGAGTGAACAACGTGCCGTGCAAGCTACGTGATGCAAGTTGCTTGTGCAATGCACGGCGCAGTTGGCTGTTTCGCCTGGAGGCCTTCCGTGGGTTGCCTCTTGGGCACCCCGTGCGCTGGGTGTGGGTGTGTGCTGAGGCAGGGCTGGACCTGAACGCTGTTTCGCTGCGCTTCGGCTGTGTCTTGTTTTTTGTTCGTTTCGGCAGGGAGGTGCAGGAACACCGGGAGAGCAACACGAGGAGCAACACGAAAACAGCCCCCCCCCAAAAAAACAGCGTTTAGGCCCAGCCCCGTGCTGAGGTTGTTCGCGTCGTTGCCGCACGGTGGGTGCGTCGTAGGGGCGCTCCGTGCGCCTGGGCGGGCGTGCCGAGGCGTCGCCCGGCAGCCGCCCGCGGACGCCTCGCTTGCAGCGCCCCGCGGGCGGCCGCGCAGCGTTGGCGCCACGGAGCTCGCGCCGCACAGCTCGCACCACACGGGCTGGTGGGCCTGTTTTCCACCACCATCACCACCACAAGTTGGAGGGGGAGGGGGTCCTCCTCCTCCTCCTCCTCCTCCTCCTCCTCCTCCTCCTCCTCCTCCACCTCCACCTCCTCCTCCCCCTTCCAACTTCTGGCGGTAGTGGTGGTGGAACACAGGCCCATCAACATAGGCACCGCGGTTGGCGAAGCCTGCGTCGCGCAGGGAGGCCGACCGTGGATTCGCGGCTGGCGCGCCGCCTCGCTGCGTTGCAGGTGTTGAATTCATTGGCGCAGGCGGCGCGACGGCGATAGGCTGCACCGCGCAGCTCCCACCACATACGTTTCGCCACGCAGCTGGCACCACATGGCCTACTCTGCATACGGAATTAGCTCATCTGCAGTGGGGGCCCATGCCAAGAAATACCCTGCTTGCCGCCAGGGTGCCCTGGGTTTCTAGGGTTTCGATGGTTTTGCGATAGGAAGTGTGACGTTCCCACTCCAAACATAGATGGACGTCCTAGGGTCTCAGGGTGGGGTATCTAGTGGAAGGTTTCTTGTGTATTGGCCTCCACTGTATGTGTACATCTATATGTATGTCGGTGAGGTAACGCATGTATTGCAACACGCAGCTTGCACGCCAACAGCGCAATTGCTGACCGTTCTGGGTCCACGCTGGCAACCATCGTGCAAGCGATGCTAGAAACATGTACGCAACAGTTCGCCATGGGGGAGACATGTCTCATGGCTGCTGAGCAGGACATAAACCCACGCTCTACCATGGGTGCGGGGGAATATAGCTTCCCAGCCGCCCTGGGACAGACCGCCCATGCAACTGGAACTTTTCTGTTGTACTCCTTTTCTCCAAAGGCGAAGCACTTTCGGCGGTCCGCTTGGACTTATTGGATCGGCGCTGGACCCTCCTCCCGGGCGCGCGACGTAATCCAGGGGCCGCGCCAGAGGCGCCGCAAGAGGGGGTTACAGTACCGATCCAAGAATTCCTCGCGGAATGCTGAAACTATATCCCGGCCTTCGCTTGTGACGAATTCAATGCGGGGTCCACATGAGCCGGCCAGCACCGTGTTTGTTCCAGGGCACATTCCCTAAGTCCCTTGCGCGAGCAATTGGCAGTGTGAGGAGCGAGTCGGCGCCCTGACCATGACGTCTGTTCAGCGGCACCGTAACGGGTACTTACTAACGGGTACTTTGAATTTTTGCCGAAAGTTGCCACTTTAGGGCCTTTTTCTTGCATTGCAGCGTTGCCCACATCGGGAAGGGTTGGGTTCGCTGGGTCACTGGCCAAAGTACCCGTTAGTGGAGTCCCCGTTTGAGGGGCGCTGATCTGCTGCTCCACTCCGCCCGCCGAAAAGGTGGCGTACTCGCTCGCCAGGCTGCGCTTCCTGCCCACGAGCAGCCTGGACGACCTGCTCGACGCCCTGCGGCCCCACCTGCCGCGGCTGGCCGGGGCGCAGATCTCCGAGCTGCTGTTCGCGCTGGCCATGGGCGACGCCAGGCGTCGGCGTCGACATCCGAACCCTGCCCTCGCCCATTCTGTAACGAGTCTGCGAGGGGGAGAAATCGCAGGCCTAGAGGTTGACACCAACCCCGGTGTGCCTCCACCGAGGGAGGACGATCCCGATCTCGGCGATGGTGGTGATAGTCTGGCTTCCAGGGTGGCCGAACTACTGCCACCGACACCGAAATCTAGGATCATCTTCCCCATGTGGAGGCAGACCCCTGTGCTGGTGTTGGTGCCAATTTCCAGGCCTCCAAAAAAGGGCACCCATGCCGATACCATGTCCTCGCTTGGGGCCTCTGGGCGGCCCGTCGTCGCCACACCGCTGGCTTCGCTTCGATGAATGCTTTTCGGAACGCGCACTGGGGAAGGGCCAGGGAATAGCGGCATCGGTACCTTATTCAAGCAGTAGCGAAGCGTCCTGGCGGGCCGGAAGGACTACCAAACAATGTTCTAAGAACCTTTTGTGGTTTCCACGCTTCTTAGAACATTTCTGGTTGGGACTGTCTTGTCTTAACACATCGGTTTTATGTTTTAAGAACATTGTTTGTGAACTTAGAGCACGTTTGGGTATTACAAAATTTCGTGGTTGGCCTATAGGAATGCCGGGACGGTCGGCCCCCCCTCAACTTACGGTTTTCCCAGAGTCTCGTGAATCGATGGGAAGCGAGGGTCGGATTTGGACTTCGCCGCGTGCCCGACGAATTCTGAGCCCTGCCACCGCTGCCCACCGAGTTGCCTGAATCGTGGATCGGCGAGGGTAGGGTTCGGTTTTCGCTGCTGAAGGCATCAGCTGGACCTGGCGCGCGACCTGGTCGCGCAGTATTTCGAGGGCAGCCCCCTGGACGCCGAAAAAACAAACGATCACAGCACACGCACAAACTTTCAGAGCTCCGCGCAGATCTCTTTGATCAGCACTGGGCCCCCCTGGCGGCGCCTCCGGCACCGGCTTACACGCTCTGCGCGCCAGGGGTGGGATGTAAGAAGTCCACACGAACCTTCGAATGTCTATGTTTATGCAATTCAGTTCTTCTTCTAGGATGGCCGGACGCTGATCTCGTTGGTGGACGTGGCTTGGTCCATGTGCGCGCTGCAGCTCGTCGACGAGTTCCCGAAGGAGTTCAAGGGCATCGCGGAGGAGATCTTCGGACGGCAACCGATCCAGAACCGGATGCCCCTCACGAAGCTCTTCGACGTCATCTGCTCCATCGAGCTGGAGCACCAGGGCCGCGGCCTCGTCGTGCCGCCGTCGTGGCGGGCCGCCTGCGACGACGCGGACCGCTTCGAAATGGACCGCCTGGAGAGCTCGAGGCTCCACAACGAGATCGTCATGAGGTTTGACCACCTGCGCGGCCGGGCGGCAGGTGTGCGTTGGCAGCTGCGGATGCAACGCAACCAGCAGTGCGGGCCCTACCGAGTGGACATGCTGGACGAGGACACGAAAGTGGCCTTGGACGTCGAGATAGTCAGCTGGCCCACCTCGAGGCCAGCATGGCAGCAAAAGCCTGCATCAGGCATCAACATTCGGAGGTCCGCGTGGGTGTCCTCTGTCGGCGCTGGGCCCCCTCCCCACACCCGTATCTGCCAATTCTCATGCGCGCGGGGCACGCCAGGGGCAGCGCCCCAGGCGCCGCCAGGGGGTGTGGGGAGGGGGTCCAGTCCAGTGCCGACGCGAGCGGTCTGGGCGGGCCTCCGACAGTTGTACGGCGACCCACCCCGCGACCCACCCGCGACCCGCGAGCGATCCACCTACGAGCCACCCGCAGTGCTCTGACGAAAGCTCAGCGCCCGCGGCGAGAGCGGTGTGTAATGTGTGAAGCATGTCGGGACCTGCGGCGGGCTTAACAACTGCCCTCGAGCTCCGCGGACTGCCGGCGACCCCGCCGCGCCCCCTCCCCTCATCCCTATCTCCGCAACTGCGGGGGCGAGGGCAATTCGTGCAGTTGTGGCCCTCCAGAGGCACATGAAGCACAGGCTGCTCAAGGGCCTCGGCTTCCTGCCCCTGCGGCTCGACTACTGGGAGTGGCGCCGCGCCCGGACGGAGGACGACCAGAACACGTTCCTGGAGCGCGAGGTGGGCGCCGCGCTGGAGGCGGCGCCGGCGGCGAGGTGAGGCCCAGCGCGGGCAGGGTGGCTCTCCGAGGCTCTTCTCGCCCCTTCGGTCCCCCCCCCTCCTCCGCCCTCCTCGTCGCCCCCGATCCTCCCTCCGACGCGCCTCTTCTTTTTTGTTTTATATGTATATGAGACACAAATGGTACCCACAAAACCTCTGAATTCCGCGCGGATGTCAATTCTGCGCGGGGCCCAGCGACAATTCGCGTGGACCTCTGCGAAAGTATGTTCATGCCAGTTTCCGTGCCTTAGTGTTTCCCAACTCTTTCACATAACGAATTTGGCTCTCAAGGCGCCGCCCCTGTGCATCACTGAATGTCGCCGCTGATTCTCCTGCAGTGTTCCATCAGTTTCGGGACTCCCGATCCTGTTTGTGCAGGAGGGACGTCGAAGGCACCCATCACTTCGCCAGTCCTTCGGGGCAGGCCGTGCGCGCTTCCGTTTTGGCCCCGGGCGCGAGCCTTCTCGAGCGTGACGCGGACGCCGAGGATTTGAAGAGGCCTCGAGACTTGAGGCCCCCGAAGCGGGGCCAGAGCAGCTCCGTTGAACTGGATTTTGGCCGCTGCCTCATCTCATTTCGTCTCGGCCCTTCGGACACCAGATTACTGGGCGGAGGCCCGGAGGTGTAAGGCGCGTCGCCGCAGAGACGGTATGCATTAAAGGAATCGGGTAACACATCAGTCTTGCGGCGAGTGCGGATCACCCGAACGCGCGCCTCATGGACGCCGTGCCCTCGCCGACCCCGTCGCGTTCTCGGAGGCGTCTCGCTGGGGCCGTTGCTGGCGGTGGCGAGCGTTCTGGTGCCGACCTGAATTCGCCGCCCAGTGGGATTCAGGACCTCGCGACGCAGTTGGCCCAAGTCGCTGGCGAACGCTCTGACCATTCCATGGACGTCGACGCGGGAGACACCAAAGGCGACGGCACGGTCCGGTTGAGTCCAATCCGCGGGCGCGCGACGGTATTTAGGAAGCCGCCGCGATAGTCTCTGCCTGCTTTGTCACGGCAGCCCGTTGAGCCGTTTCCTAGCGCCCAGGGAGAGGTGCCGGGCAGTATGTCGTGTACAGTAAGTGCGTGTTCCTATTTATGATAAACATGATTGTTCAGTGGAGAAGCTTTGTCAAGGAATCAGAGCTGTCCTCCTCTCCCTTTCTGCTTAGGGGGGAGCGGGGCTCGCGCGCTCCTCCAGGCCCCCCTTCCTTCCCGCCCATGGACGCGCGTGCGAGCCCTCGCGAAGGCCGCGGGCGTCCCGATGCCTGGATGAAACAGGCGTAGCGAGGGCTGCGATCGTCACTGCCGCTATACAGAGACAGGCCACGCGGCGCCAGCAGCTGCATCTCAGCGAGCGGCAGCCTAAACTAGTCGCCGGTTTTTTTTTGGCGCTCCATAGCCCGCGGGTGGAGCTCCAGGCTGGGAGCAGGGAGGGGCTGCCAGAGCAGGACCATTCGCAGCGTGGGCCACGCGCGACGAGCAGCTGGGGCCACCACCGTGGCACCCACCCGGCAACTGGCGCCGCCGCCGGGGGATGCCAGCAGACCCGTTCTGTCACGTGGGCCCGCGCTCTGTCCACCGCCCGCCGGCGGTATGGGGCGCCGTCGCTCGCGGCGGCCGATCCGTGGTCCGCCCTCGATCCTGCGTCGTGAAGTGATGCGTTCTGGAAGCCTCTCTACTGTGCATACTGTGCATGATGTCTCTTCCTCCTCGCATTCCCCTCACTGTGCACCTTGTGTGCTTGCATTTTCGCTCTAATCTAGCTTCGGGTCTGGGTTCTTGTTTCAGTATCAGTTTGCTGCTGGCATCCTCAGCCGTCTCAGGTAAACGTAGTTTGGTCGATTGAGGACTTTGGAAGAGAAGTTTGGGACATTGAGCGGGGGGCGTCGCGTTGGATAGAGTCGCGCTCGCACAGCTGCACTGCTTCCTGTCGCTTTCACGTTGCGGCGCGAGGTTGAAGAATGATGAAAGGAGTATGGAGACAGGAGGGCCCGCAGCAACTGTGGGAAGCTCCAGCGCGGAGCAGAGGGTTGACCCCAAACCGAACTTGTAGAAAACGACAATGCAGCCGAGGCCACTGAGTTCATCTGCAAGGAAGTTGACGATGATGAGGTTGGCCATGGGGGAGGGCGGAGGCGAAAACATGACGAGGCGGGGGCGCTGGGCACACGGCGAGGCTTATCGAATGTTTGCAATTCATGTTAAGTGGTCGAACCGGATGGCGAGATGGGGGGATCCAATTTGGCATCAAGGTCAAAATGCAGAAGCGGGGCCTGCCCAAATTGCGAGGTTGGCAGTAGCGCGCAACCCAGGGGCGGAATGCCACGTAGAGGCTAATGCGTTCATCTGTAAGGAACTCCATCACAATGATGATGTTGAGGTCCCAACTCAATGCAGAAGCGGGGTCGGCCCCAATCGCGAAGTCGGCCGTGGCGCGCAAACCTGCGTCGCACTGGCGTCGGCAGCGCGCGTTGGAGGTGTCGGCGAAGACGGGTAGAAATGAGGGGTGCATCAAGAGGGCTAGATGAGTATGTGTTGTTTAAGTGGTCTTGTTGGGTTGTTGCTTCTGTACTCGTTTCGCGTCAATTTGGTTCACACTGCAAGTTTTGCGCGCTTCCTAAGCTGTTGCCTTACCAGGAAAGACCAGCAGACTTGAAAGAGCGTGTTCTACCGCTGCTGGCGGAAAACCGGGGGGGGTCACTACCGGTTCGAACCCCTCCCCCCCCCCCCCCACCAGAAAACCGGGGGGGGGGGTCACTACGGTTCGAACCCTTCCCCCCCCCCCCCCCCCCCCAGCTCATCATGAAAAGGGGGGGGGGTCACTAACGGTTCGAACCCCCCCCCCCTTCGAAAACCGAGTGGGGGTGCGGACAGTGGTGGGGACGGTGTTGGTGGGGACAGTGGTGAGGGGACAGCGGGACAGTGGTGGGGACAGTGGGGGGACAGTGGGACAGTGGTGGGGACGGTAGTGGTGGGGACAGTGGTGGGGACAATGGTGGGAACAGGGGGGACAGTGGACAGTGGTGGGAACGGTGGTGGTGGGGACAGTGGTGTGGGGACAGTGGGAATGAGGTGGAAACACTGGGACAGTGGAGGGTACAATGGTGGTGGGGACACTGGTAAAGGCGGTGGCGAGGACGGCGGTGGGACAATGGGACAGAGGTGCAGTGGGGACAGTGGTGGGGACAGTGGGGACAGTGGTGGGAACAGTGGGACAGCTCAGTGGGACAGCGGAGGAGTCAGTGGGACAGTGGGGACAGTGGGGATAGGCAGTGGTTGGGTCCGTGGAGACAGTGGGGAGAGTGGAACCGTGGTGGGAACAGTTGTGGGGAACAGTGGGGACAGTGCGACAGTGGTGGGGGCACGGTGGGGAACAGTGGGGACAGTGGTGGTGAGGACAGTGGTGCTGGGAACAACAGTGGGGGTGGATGGAGCGGTGGTACCGGGAGCGGGGGGCACCCCCCTCCGGTGGTTCCGGTGAGGATCCAGGGTTCGAACGGTAGTGCGGTTTTGGGGGGGGGGAGGGGTTAGGGGAGGGGGGGGGTTTTGCCGGGAGGGAAGGTTGGCAATTTTCCACAGTAAAGCGGCGGTGGATCACGCTCTCTCGCAGACTTGCATGGATGCTTCGTTTGCAATGTTTCCAGCGGTTGGCGGATGGGTGACTGCAAGGTCTGCCAGTGTCTCCTGCCGTTCGTGACTCGCGCCAGGCAGTGTACCGAGCAGAGCGCCCGCTCGCGGGCACTTCCCAGAGGCCGAAATTCAACGCAGTCAAGACGGTGAGGGGGTTGCCCACCCTGGTCAACGATTAGCACCAGTGAGGTTTTGGACGTAGCAGGTTTGGCATTACTCACGTTCAAGTATGTGGTCCTTTCTTGTGTCGTTAGAGCCTCCTGTCAGCGTGGCCATGCTTGGCATGTAGTTTAGCAGTGCGCGGACGTGAATATCGATCCGCACGTGGTTGACCACGCAGAAGTTATCCTTAATCCATACGCGAGTGATTCCGCGGGCTCTCCGCCCCCCCCCCCACCACCACCACCACACGCGCGCAAGCCCCTCGATCAACCCTGGGCACCTAGTTGCTGACAGCGTGCCGTGTCCGTCACGTTTGGCGACGCGACGCTGCGGGCGACGCTGCCGACCCCGACGCGTTTCGACTGATGCGTCGGCCTCGTCGACAAGGCGGCCAACGTGGAGTTTCCCGAGGCTCGCGCGGCATTGGGGAAGACGCGGCATGTGCGGCCTAAGTCGGCCTTCGAGCCAGGGTCTTCCGGAGCCCACGAGGCCCGCGGGGCGATCCTCGCGCAGCCCGTGCTCGCAGTCATGGGCGTCGCGCAGCCCTGCGCGGTGGCGGACGCGGCCGCGGCGGAACAGGGCGAATCTGGGCCCTCCGCGAGGCCACGGGACCAGAGTGCCCCGACGATTTCGGACGGCGGCCCATGTGACCGCCCTGAACGGTGGAGGGGCTGCGACGGACGACCTGGTCGTCTTCGGCGGTCCACGCGCGGGGTTTCGCGCGCCCAAGACCCAAGTCCCCCATCTCCTGTCGGGCGACTAGCTGCGGGAGGCTTGCGGGAGGTCGGGAGGCTGGCCAGATGAGCGCGTCGAGTCGGAGCTGGCGCAGCTGGCCAAGACTGACAGCCCGCGGACAACCCGCGGCCTGGACGGGCGACGTTGCCAGATTATTTGAATTGGCGGGTCGTGGCCAGTCGTTGGCCGAGGCGCGCGCTGCGGGCTTGCGCGCGTGGTGTACAGTGGAGGCCCATGCCAAGAAACACCGTGCTTGCCTCCATGGTTCCCTGGGTTTCTTGGGTTTCGAGGGCTTTGTTCTGGAAGGCGTGACGTTCCCACGCCAAAGATCAATGGGCGTCCTGGGGTGTCATGGTTGGGTTGCTTGTGGATCGTTTCTTGTGGACCGGCCTCAACTGTTGTCCACCAGGGCGCGCTGGCGCCATCGCGCGACTTCGGCAGTTTTGCCCGCAGGCGGAGGAGGAGGAGGAGGAGGAGGAGGAGGAG